CGACTCTGAGAGAACTTGTGAGTGACCCAAAGTCACACCAGCAGCTATAAGTAGAAGGGCGGGGAATCAAACCTAGTTCTCCCAGATTAGAGTCTACGCTCTTAACCACTACACCAAACTGGCTCTCTCAAAAACTACCTTCCTGCCCCAGAGGAACAGGCTGGTGCATGCTAGACTCCTTGGTCTGATTGTTTCAGGTGTCAACAGCAGGCAATGTGGGAATTGCCTGCCAGAGAGCGACCTTTAGACATTTGCTCTAGCACAGGGGTCTCCAACTGTTTTCAGCCTGTGGGCACATTTAGAATTTTGGGACAAGGTGGTGCGTGGCTTCCACAGGAGGCAGAGCCAATCAGAGTACGTGTCCCTCCTCACACCTCCTGGGAAGAAGGAAAGCCAGAAGGGTGGAATGGAACCACACACTGACCCAGGTGCTTGTAGGTCCTCCTGATCCTCCAGTGCAAAAAACCCTTTCATTTGAATGAACGACAGCGAATAACAAGCTCTGCCAAAGGCTTAGCGGTGGTTACTATGTTCAAGAGACAGGATTTTTAAAGAAGGTGTACGTTATACCAAGAAAATAAAGTCTCTGAACAACTAGCCATCCAGAGATCAATGGTACCACTTCGGTGGGAAGGTAACAGCGTTCTGTGCGCCTTGGCGTTTAGTCATGCCGGCCACATGACCACGGAATCATCTTCGGACAGCGCTGGCTCTTCGGCTTGGAAACGGGGATGAGCACTGCAACCCTAGAGTCGGATCCAACTGGCTTTCAAGCAAGGGAAACCTTTACCTTTACCTATACGTTATACCAAGAAAATAAAGTCTCCGAACAACTAGCCATCCAGAGATCAATGGAACTGAAAGGCCCCACGCTGTTTCTAAAAACGACTCCCGGATACAGGGGTCCCACTGTTACAGGCCAACAACTGGATTCCTCTTTATGTGTCTTTTCTATTAGACTCTAGTGGGAAACGATCGCAGGGTAGAGAAGTAAACTTAGTACCTGAACTGGCATATTAAGAATGGCTGTGTTTCTGAAACATGCAGGGCTTTTTAAATTTCAGATCTTTTTAAAAATTATTTAGATAAACAGCCCTTGTACGACTTCATTAAAGCCTCATTAGTCCCATTTTCCAGATGGGGAACAGAAGCTAGGAAAAAGCAAAGCTTATTTAGAAGATAAAAAGAGCCCTGCTAGATCAGACCAGTGGTCCATCTAGTCCAGCATCCTGTCTCGCACAGCGGCCAACCGGTTCCTCTGGAGGGCCAATGACAGGGCATCGAGGCCGAGGTCTTCCCCTGGTGCTGCTTCCTGGCTCTGGGATCCAGAGGTTTACTGCCTTCTGAACATGGAGGTTTGCTAGGGTTGATTTTATTTATTGAAATATTCATATCCCAGCCTTCCCCGTGGATCAAGGCAGCTTACAATCACAATTACAAACATCACAAATTTAAAGCCAACAAAAACCTGAATAACACCCCCTCCCTTAGAACTAGGTCCTAATCCCATAAAAGGCCACGCAGAGAAACATAAAAGGTTATCATTCTCAAATTAGTTAAGGAGACCCTTAACTACCCCTGCTTCCCAAGAAATGACTCACTTGGCAGTGCTTTTCAAGATGACACGTCTAGCCTGACACCCACCAAAAGGAGGTCTCAAATGAAGCTTGTTACACTCAATTCCTTACCGCGGCGAACTATTGTTTCGAAAATTAGCAGCCTCTCGATTCGATTCATCCTTTCATTTTTTTTGTTAACGGTTCCAATTAGTTCTGTGACCTTTTTAATCTACACAGACAATTATCCCCAGCACAGCCCACACAGAATTTAATTTCCCCTTCCTCTTAAGGCGGGTGAGCCAGTGAAGAGCAGTGCCTTCCCATCAAGTAGAAACATCCTTGAAAAAGATGAACCGCTATCGCCGCAGTCAACAACACAGTGACTCTGCAACCTTTTGCGGGATTAGCGATTGATGCGCGGGTCTCTTACCTGTAGTAGATAAACTCTAATCATGTAGATAAAACTTAAACCCAACGTTGCAACCCATCGTACTGCGGTGTAGGGAGTAGATTTGTCTAACCAGGACTGGTATATCTGGAAGAAACGTAAATGTTAGATATTCATCGCAGAGCAAATGGCAGGGAGATTTCAACTGCCGCAGAATCTTGAAAGCTACTGGAGCGGCATCAGAGGATGGTTAAAGACAAGCACTTGCTCGGTAAACTGTAAGTCCAAACCAAGATTAAATCACTGTCTGGAAGACTGGTTTTCAGGGAAAGTGTAAAGTCTCTAAACAGTCTCTAAACTCACACAAGGAAAGAAGGGGGTGTGGGAGTCCCAGGTGCCATTAGGGTCGCCCACGCATACCCCTATATCTAGGGCTGCCAGCCTCCAGGCAAACATAATATCTTGTCTAGGAGAATATCTCTCTCTCAAGTTCTTATCAGGCAGCCTGACAGAACTGCAAGAGTTCCGATGGGACCCTAGAAAAATGATGCTATTTAAAGAGTTTTATACTCACAAAGAGAATTTGTTGCGCCTTCTGTCTTGTATGTATATCAGTGTTCTTGAAAATGATTGTATTTGATACTGGTACATTACTACAGTCCCCTGGGACTAGTGGTGGTGAAACTGACAAGGTGCTGTTTGAATGTCTGAACATAGTGTAAACCTGCACTTGGATGTATTGTTTTGGTGAACCTATGCTCCCTAATACTTGACACTAATATTTATATAATAGTATAGAACAATTTTAAAAAATAAGCACAAAATAGATCTACCTTAAGCATAAATCTATTATACAGAATGTCGTATATGTTTCTATAACCTCCAGGTGGGGCCTGGAGACCTTTCAGAATTACATCTTATCTCCAGATGATAGAGATCAGTTCCTCCAGAGCAAATGGCTGCTATGGAGGTCAGACTCTATGGTATTATGCACTGCTGAAATCCCTCCCCCCTCCAAACCCCACCCTCACTAGGCTCCACCTCCAAATGTCCAGGAACTTCCCAACCCAGAGGCGGCTGGGAACCAGCTCTAACCCCAACCCTACCTATGAGTCACACAAGACCCTCGTTCTCTTCAGCAGGGCTTGAGAACACACAGCTGCGTGTGAGACTGTACTGTGGGTGCAATCCACAAGCGCACATACCGTGGACCTAAAGTAGATGCTTCCAAAGATGGCAGCTGCAAAGATTTCTGCTCACAGAGCACTATTTCTCCCCCCTTCCCCACCAGCCCAGAGTGGCCCCTGAAAGCATGTTACTGGAGAGTAGGAGATTGGATTTATACCCTGCCCCTCACTTGGAGTCTCAGAGTGGCTTACAAACTCCCTTCCCTTCCCCCTCCACACAACAGACACCCCGTGAGGTAGGTGGGTCTGAGAGAGCTCTGACAGAAACTGCTCTTTTAAGGACAGCTCTGACGGAGCTAAGGCTTGCCCAAGGTCATCCAGCAGCTGCAAGTGGAGGAGTGGGGAAATCAAACCTGGTTCTCCCAGATTAGAGTCCGCACACTTCACCACTACACCAAGGGACCCCGCAGGAACAACGGCTCAGGGGGCATTCTGGGCTGCCACAGGTGGGGGGAGGCAGGAAAACTGCACTCCTTTTTGAGCCTGTGGACAAATTTGGGATTTTGAGAAATGGTGGAGAGTGCCACCCCAAAACTGACTTCCACGGGAGGCAGAGCCGAATGGAATACTCCATTGGCATACCTCCTGGGGAGAAGGAAAGCCTGAAGGAAGAATGGAACCACAGGCTAACTCAGGAAAGCCCAGGTGCTCATCAGTCGTCCTGATCTTCCAGTGACTGACTGAATGACAGCCAGTAACAAGCTCTGCCTTAACATGGTGGACTTCCTGAGGGCACCTGGGTTTTGGCCATTGTGTGACACAGAGTGTGGGACTGGATGGGCCATTGGCCTGATCCAACATGGCTTCTCTTATGTTCTTATGTTTGGGGCAATGATGCTCTGTCTTCTTGGTGCTTGGGGGGCAACAACAGTTTTCTGGAGTTCTGGCCCTGCTGGTGGACTTCCTGAGGGCACCTGGGTTTTGGCCACTGTGTGACACAGATGGGCCATTGGCCTGATCCAACATGGCTTCTCTTCCGTTCTTATGTCTGGGGCTGTGATGCTCTGTCTTCTTGGTGCTTGGGCAACAGTGGGAGGGCTACTGAAGTTCTGGCCCTGCTGGTGGACTTCCTGAAGGCACCTGGGTTTTGGCCACTGTGTGACACAGTGAGATGGACTGGATGGGCCATTGGCCTGATCCAACATGGCTTCTCTTATGTTCTAATGGCCCCACTCACTTTCTGAAAAGCTCAGCAGGAGCCAAGGAAAGTATTGATGGGGGTTGTGGAGCCCATTGGCACCAGCTGGGAACCCTGGCTTAGACAAAGGCCTCCCAAAAAAGACTTTAAGTGATGCGCCGGCTCAGACAGGACCAAGAACTCCTTTAGATCCCCAGTGTCAGACCAATGTCATTACATGTCAATGCTGACACTCTGCAATTGTGCCCGGAAAGAAACTGGAAACAAGGGAAGATCTTTTAGTACTGAGGAAGCAAAATCCCCGTCAGCCATTCCCCCAACACATTCTGGGCCAGTTTTAATCACCTCATATACACCCGATGTCAAACCAACCTGTCCGAGTCTTGTGAAAAATCTATAGACCACTGAAGGTTTGCCATGAATGGACTCGCCGGTGCTGTCCCCTTCTGACATTGTTGCTGCAGAGAGAGAAAAGGAGAAGAAAAACACAATGGCGCTTTTGGCACGCCATGCTCACAACGATGCTTACATGTGAAATAATTCATTTGGCTAGCTCTGTGGAAAGATGCAAGCTACCTGGACGCACTTTATCTGTTGGGGCCAGAGAATGCCTAGATGAGAGAACACTGGCAGCCCCTGGGAAGGTCCTCTGCACTGTCAAAAGATAGATGCACCAAGAAGACACACATTTTCTAAACATGCGGAAGCTTCTTCCACCCACATCAATGAAGGGGATGTTATGGATACTGGAGAGAAAAGAGCTTGCAGACTGAATCCATAAAGGCCAAAAACAAAAAATCAGATACATTTGTGAGTTCTTTTAGCCCACTTTCCTCCAAAGTGCTAGAGGGATACACACGGCTCTCTCCCTCACATTTTAATTCTCACAACATTCCTGCAATGCGTGCTAGGCTGAGCATGTGCAACAGGCCCAAGGTCACCCAGCGATCTTGGTGGCAAATCTGGGATCTGAATTCGGGCTGCCACGCAAGAGCCAGTGTGGTGTGGTGTGGTGGTTAACAGCAGCAGACTCTAATCTGGAGAACAGGGTTTGATTCTCCGCTCCTCCACATGAAGCCAGCTGGGGGACCTTGGGCCAGTCACAGTTCTCTCAGAGCTCTTTCAGCCTCACCTACCTCACAGGGTGTCTGTTGTGGGGAGAGGAAGGGAAGGCAATGGTAAGCTGCTTCAAGACTCTTTCGGGTAGTGAAAAGCAGGGTATAAAACTGGCTCTTCTTCGTCTTCTGCCTGGTTCTAGTCAAACCCTCTAAACCACTACACTGCTCTTTCTCTCAGGGAGTCACCAGTTCCTTTGGGGACCATTTTATAAAAGTCCAGATATAAAGTCCAGAGGAAGGCACTGTCGAAGATTCAGCCAAAGACCTGTTTCTCAAGCACAGAGCCACGGCTTCATACAGGACCCCAGAAAGGTAAATACATGGGAGTGGATAAAAAAAAGACCCAATACAGTTTAAAAAAGGTAAAGGTTCCCTTGCTCGAAAGCCAGTCGAATCCGACTCTAGGGTTGCGGTGCTCATCTCCGTTTCAAAGCCGAAGAGCCAGCGCTGTCCGAAGACGTTTCCATGGTAATGTGGCCGGCATGACTAAACCCCAAGGTGCACGGAACGCTGTTACCTTCCCACCGAAGTGGTCCCTATTTATCTACTTGCAATTTCTTGCTTTCGAACTGCTAGGTTGGCAGGAGCTGGAACTAGAGATGGGAGCTCACTCCGTCATGCGGCACACTCGGGTCTCGAACTGCTGAACTACTGACCTTCCACAGCCTGCAGTTCAGCGTCTTAACCACTTCAGCCACCGCAGCTCCCAATACAGTTTAGGCTTCCCCTAAAACGTTGTTATAGGTTTAGGAGCGCCTGCCGAACATTGTCTGAAATACGAGGATGCCCAACCAACTTGTCATCTTTGCCCAACCAACTTGTCATCTACACTATACTAACCTGCCTGCTGTGGAACAAGGCTGCCAGTGAGTTTACTTATCGGCCCTATTCGATGCGATTAACAGCAGTCTAGTCAACCACATATCCGCCCCATCACAAACACAAAAGGAGGGCAAGACTGACAACTCCCCAGCTGTTTGTTTGCTTAAAATCACTGCTCTCTCCCCCCCCCAAGGTACTTCTCCTCCAATTAGGGAAGAGATACAGGGACTGACCGGACAAGAAAAGGTTAAGCTGTCACTTTCCTCCAGCCTCTCCCCCACTAACACACAGAGAGAATCACAGAGAGGGGGTGGGGGTATGCAAAGAGACACTCAAATGCAGTAACCTGCCTGCTGTGGAACAAGGCTGCCAATGAGTTTACTTATCGGCCCTCTCCCCGACATACCTAATTTGAAATCAGTGCATGATGTAGGCGGTGAATAGGGTTGCCAGCTCCGAGTTGGGAAATTCCCGGGGATTCAGGGGCAAAACCTAGTAAGAGCAGGGTTTTGGGAGGGGAGGGACCAGTTTGGTGCAGCGGTTAGGAACGTGGACTCTAATCTGGGAGAACCGGGTTTGATTCCCCACTCCTCCACATGCAGCTGCTGGTGTGACCTTGGGTCAGTCACAGTTCTCTCACAGCTGTTCTGGAAAGAGCAGATCTCGAGAGAGCTCTCTCTGCCCCGCCTACCTCATGGGATGTCTGTTGTGAGGAGGGGAAGGGAAAGGAGACTGTAAGCCACTCAGAGACTCCTTCGGGTAGTGAAAGGTGGGGTAGAAATCCATCCTTCTTCTTCTTCTTTGGGCATAAGGTCATGGAGTCCACCCTCCAAAGCAGCCATTTTCTCCAAGGGAACTGATCTCTGTCATCTGGCAATCAGCTGTGATTCCAGAGCTCTCCAGGCCCCACCTGGAGGCTGGCAACCACGGCTGTGGATTTTTTGCTGGAAGGGAGCTAATTGGCCGGAAAAGCTTCAAGCGATGATGCTTCCACACAGTGGGCTGCTGTTAACGGCATAGGGACAGAACCAGGCCCAATAAAAGAGAGTAACCTCAGAGAGAAAGCTGAAGGGCCACCAACACGGGCAGTGACTGCGTGCTGCCTCCCAAACGGCTTCGAAGACCACCCAAAAAACCCACATGCTGTGAAGTTATCTGGTCACACGACTCCATTTTGGCCTTTGGCTCTGATACAGAACAAGCTGGCACCATCTGTTCACCAGGAAAGGGGAGAGGTCCTGGCGGGGGGGGGGGGGGGATACCGGAACTCCCCCCCCCACTCGGTCCTTCAAATGCAGCCACTTTTGTGAAAGGGGGGGGGGGGGCAACCGTGCACGAAAGCACCCGGAGCTGCAGGTTAGTCTGATTTCAAAGGAGAGAAGGGAGACTTTGTACTTCCTCTTTCGAGGAGAATTAAAAGAATCTCCGCGGCGGCTGCGGTGCCACATCACCAAAGGCGACACCTGACACGACTTCCTCGTTTGTCATCTCTGGGGGCGGGGCAGAGAGAGAGAGAGAGAGAGAGAGAGAGAGAGAGAGAAATTCTACTCCCCACAGCAGGAAAGCCAAATGCACATGAACGAGGGAGGGACGCGGAAGCGGAAAGTGTTACCAGAAAGCCAAGGAAGACAGGACATATCGGAAAGCTTATCTCAGCAGAAGAGCGCGTCTCATGACGAGCTAGGAAATCAATGTTTGTTTGTTTTTAATCTGTGATCCACAAACGCTTAACTCGCAGCCTCTTGCTGGAGACAAAGGGACACCCAAGCGCTATGTCCAAAAATCCGTGCTCTCTCTCGTGAAAACTCCGGCAGGTTCGAGGAACTGGCCATATGGCGCAGTTCTTGTTCGATTGCGCCGTTGGACGGCGAGATCAGTTTTCAGCCTGAGAGCAAGCGGGTGAGAGGAAACCGCTAATTCGATGTCACCGAGGGCCAAAGAGGCGTAGCAGTCTGAGAAGTGCCGCACGAAGGCATCCAGAATGCCCTATGATGCCACGGCACGGCCCGTCTGGGCTGGCATTCCATTCCCAACAGCAGCCGCCCAAGATGTATCTGGGGCAAGCAGAGCAGGGAGACATCTGTCCCAGGGCAGCCGATATTCTGAGGTAGACTGCCTCTGCACAGGGAGGTTCCGTCTATCCATCGCAGCCGGACAGCTGCGATTCTTGATGGTTCCACGCAGTTAGCGGTAACTCGCTTTGAATTCAGCAGGCTGACCGTCTGGCCATGTAGGCCAGTCCCAAGTGTCATAAAAATTACCTCAAACTGACCGCCGTAGCATAAACATGCTGAAGCTTACCTACTCCCTTTCCTGGGGAGAGACCACGGCTCAGCAACCTAGCAGATGCTTCGTAAGCGGAGGGCTTCAGATTCAGTCCGCCGTGATTAAGAGGATATCGGGTAACTGGGCTAGGAAAGGTTTCGGAGAGATGCTGCTGCCAAACAGGGGGTAACAGTGACCAACACCCAGCACAGGACCAGGCAGATTAATATGTTCCTCCTTTACAGAAGGAAAACGGAGAATACCTTATCTAAAAGTATTTTAATTTTTGGCTCCCCTAAGAGATTGAGACTTGGAGCTGCGGTGGCTGAAGTGGTTAAGACGCTGAACTGCAGGCTGTGGAAGGTCAGTAGTTCAGCAGTTCGAGACCCGAGTGTGCCGCATGACGGAGTGAGCTCCCGTCTCTAGTTCCAGCTCCTGCCAACCTAGCAGTTCGAAAGCAAGAAATTGCAAGTAGATAAATAGGGACCACTTCGGTGGGAAGGTCACAGCGTTCCGTGCGCCTTGGTGTTTAGTCATGCCAGCCACATGACCACGGAAACGTCTTCGGACAGCGCTGGCTCTTCGGCTTTGAAACGGAGATGAGCACTGCAACCCTAGAGTCGGATTCAACTGGCTCTCGAGCAAGGGAACCTTTACCTTTTTTAAAAAAAGAAATTGAGAATCTAGAATCCCAAGTGAAACAGAAAATAAATCTGGCTTAAAAGCAATGCTCCCTCTAAGCCGTGGAGTCTTGTGAGCAAAACCTCTACTTTGTGAGCTCCTGGCATTAAAGTTGTGAGCAAGGGATTCGGCTGCTTCGTATTTTGATTTGCTCTGGGGCCCTCCTCCCTGAGCTAAGACAAAAATGTGTGAGCTGTAACTCAGCTTAGAGGGAACGCTGCTTAAAAGAGGAGTGGGTTTCCCCTCCACTTGCACAGCAGGTGTGTGTGTGTAAAGTGCCCTCAAGTCGCAGCCAACTTATGGCGACCTGGCAGCGTTTTCAAGGCAAGAAACATTCAGAGGTGACTCGCCATTGCCTGCCTCTGCATAGAGACCTCGGACTTCCTCGGAGGACTCCCGTCCAAGTCCTAACCAGGTCTGAGTCTGCTAAGCTTCCGAGATCTGACGAGAGATCCATCCGGGTCAGGGCACCTGGCTGGTGGGGAATCCTGTTAACTCTCTCTCCCTGTAAACGTTTTTTTCTCTGTTTTGAAAACCTAAAAAAATATATCTACAGCACAGCAGAGG